TTGTGGACACCCTGTATAAAATGGTAAGTTTATTACCATTGGGATATAAAATATGATTTCTTCCTGTCCAGTTGGTAGACTTACCGAATAAGGGCCAGCTGCTCAACACTTGCAGAACGCGATGCTTCGCTCTTGATACGGACAGACCGGCAGCTTGACCCCAACTGGTTTGGACCAATGCGAGCCATTGAGGTGGGCGCGGTTCACGCAACCCTAGAACTGGCTTCGGTAACAGGAATTTCACTTCTTTCAGGCTGGGGGCGTGTCCCAGATCAGCCGCTCTGGAAACCATAGATTAATCTGGAAGCTATCAAAAAATTGGCCCCAACCTGTGAAGAAGAGCGGCTGCTAATGCCATGTCTCGAACAACGCTCGGAGGTAGATTGGGATTGCCCAGCCGCAATAGAAGCCCTTCTAGATAGTCGGGGGCCACTTGATTGAAGAGGACCTCGGTGTAAAGTGGACTAGCATCGTGTTTGAGCGGGTGGTACCTGGCCAATGGGTGAACTTGAGCGAGCTGGTTCTTGATTGAACTGCATACCTACCAAACGGATCTGCAGAAGATCAAGTAGAATGGCTGGGCGGCCTTGTGCAGCTCAGTGGTAACATCCAGAATGTACTCGTCGGCTGCTAGGGGCATGGTAAAGGCATCCCCTTGCACGATGCAGTACAAGCTGAACTCCTGCTGCTCTTGTTCTTCGGCTATGCCAATCAAACTGCACAGTTTGTGGATAACATCGGCAACCACTGTGCTACATCTGGTGTTGACCACGCGCTCAGCACCCCCTGGTAGCCGGTAGATTTGCCTACGCGCACTCCGTCCTAGAAGAAACAGAATTCACGCCTATCGGCACAAACAGGCCGATTGAACTGTACCTGCACTGACCGCAGTGACTTCTTCCACTGAAGGCACGTTCTTCCTCCCGCCGCACCTCTGAGTCTTCCTCAAGTTGGTGACGCACACTGCGGCAGTTCCATGGCAGATCCTTCGCCTGTCGTTGGCCGCGCTGCTCAAATGCTCCATCAAGTAGGGCAGCAGAGTGTCGGAGCAGGCAAAATAGGCGGCCACAATCGAAAGAAGCCTCCAGGCCCTGGAAGCTTGCCTTAGATGGCGTGTCTTTGCCAGTAGAGGGTTTGCTTACCTTTGGCTGGACTCGCTCGACTCCGACTTGTTGCTGGTCGTCTGCTTCATCAGCTGGCAGTAGACTTCGTCTCTCAGTTGGCCGTACTTGTGACAGTGCTGCGAAAGATATTTGATCTAATCTCAACATGGTACAAAATCAAGTTAGTGCTTTGAGTCGATAGGTGGGTACTGGTTGGTGTTCAATCTGTGTCATGATTGAATCGAACAGTGGTGAAAAATGAGGGCAGAGATGAAGAGGAGTCATCGATTAGCAGAGTATAGAGGTGGAGTGTAAGAGAGGGCTGCAGCAAGTGAACAAGGAGGAACATTACCATTAAGACCGTGTAGACGCATTTGACTTCGGACATTTCCGGCGTGAGCGGCTGATCTCCGCAGTATCTCAAGATGCAGTCAAAGCACTCGATGGCCAGAGGAGTGAGCTCGGGGTCATCGAGACGTAGAAGAGGCCCATCCAGCGGAGTCCCTTGCCACTTGATCACGTCCGTTTGCTGCTTCCAAGTCCAGTCTTTCGACTTGTTTTTGGACTTGGGCTGCGACTGGTCGAATCTTTGGTGTTCCAGGCTGAAACATCCGCCGTCAGCCGGTTAGCGTGATTTTGCCTCAATCTTACCAGCACATGAGAGTCGCTTCGATTTGGGACAACATGTGTTTAGTGCGCGGGTTTGTTCAACTGGCGCTGTGTGCTCAAGTGTTGCGATGAAACTATTGTTTCATCAATTCGATTTATTCCTTTGGTGTATACGGGGAGTGTGTGAAATGTTTTTTAACAGTTCTAGGGGTTTGCATTGAAGCTACACCTGCTCTCCTTTAGTGCTGTTGGTCAAAGCGTGTTTAGCGACTTTTAGGTGAACAGCTGTGAAACCCCCCGTGGACTAGAATGCACCGGTCTATGCAAACTATGAAGCCCCCTTAATTCTCCACTGCTTCGTGCATGCTTTCTAATTCCTTGCAATATGCGTAAAAGTGCTCATTGGTTGCACATGGCTGAGCCCGTTAAATCAGCTTATTAAAAACGTTATTAAATATGCAATTTATCCGCAATATGTTACTGTTGGAGTAGGTCTTCTATTGTCTGTAAAAACAATTTATACTTACTCAGATAACTGCCTGTAGTTCTGCATGGCAAACTGCATCAGGGAATATTTGCCAGTCGTTGGCAAAGGGCTGCTAGGAGACCTGGCGCCCTCTCGACTCTCATCCCGCGAAATGATTCGCGTTGGGGACGTTTCTCCTCTGGACTTCTGGACCAAAGTGCTTGGCACCACGTCCAGTCGTTCCATAGTAGGCGATCGGCTGCGTTGCTGAGACTTGGCCTGAATCTGCAAACAGTCCAACTGTTATGGGCTTTCACGGCCGGTCAAATTACATATAGAAATTATTTTCAGGGGAATTTCTTCCTGACGTTTCGTCCACAACTGCGGTGGACATTTTCAAAGGCGATGAGGCAGTGGGCGAAGTGATCTCCCGTGCTTTCCGACTCAGTCTTAGTCGGTAAGTCGGCTCAGACTCACCTTTTTTGCCAACTAAACGACTTAAAACATATCACTGTTTTATAAAAATATTACCAATATCCCTAAATCTGAGAATTGTAAGCATTTTTACTATTACCGAGTATGAAAAAACTAGTGAATGTCTTCGTGCATTTTTTTCTTATTAAAAGAAAGCACAAATAATAAAAAAGAAGATTGCACGAAGACATACAACACACGTTTTGATTTAAATCATATTTTCAGATCGGAAGAATGACTCAAATGTAAGGATTGCATCCTTCCCATTATAAAAGGGTACATGATTGAAGAGCCCAAGGGCGGATCCAGGGGGGGGGGTCATGGGGGTCTTTGTGCTGGATTTTGAACGACTAATGCAAATTTTTTAAATTTTATGGACAACAAAATACTGAATTTCTACTACTTGACCCCCCCTGGATCCGCCCGTAAAAGAGCCAATATGATTTTCCAGCACGTACATAGTTTTACCGTTGGATTCTAAGCCACCAACATGATTTAAAAAGTATTTTATGTTAGGATGAGGCAACCTTTTCAATAGGCAAAGTATTCAGAAGTCATAATAGTTATTTTTGGAGCATCGAGAATCCGCGAGTTGTTCGAAGGGCAAACTTCCAACATAGATTCTCATTCTCTGTATCGCCAGGTGTTACATAGGGGATATCTTGAGAGGATCATAATTATTTAAATTGTCTACAGCATGATCAGCAAGAATTGCTAGAGGAAACTCCTATAAGCACTCGGTTAGAAATGTTCTTCCAGCTGATGATGGGGCGCCATCCCACTATGTCCAACCTGTGAGAAATTGGATAAACCAACATTTTCCAAGCAGGTGGATAGGTCGAGGTGGCCCAGTAAACTCGCCAGCTCGATCACCTGATCTAAATCCTTTGAATTATTACCTGTAGGGTAATATGTCCAATATTATTTATGCCAGAGAAGTAGATAGCCCAGAAGAGCTTCTAAGGCGGATTTGCGCGGCCGTAAATCAAATAAAACAAACCCCTTTTTAAATTCTCCGTGCCACCCAACATATTCGGAAGGTCCAGAGTGGTCATTCAAGAAAATTGAAATTTGTTTGAACATTTACTCCGGTAAATTAGTGTTGATAATAATATTTATTTAAAATATAAAATGTTTATGGATAGCAGTGATATTTTTGAAGTCATTTAGTTGGAAAATGGTCCGTCTGAGCGAAGTACATTAAGAGTACCTTTTCTTCGTAAAATGCTTTAGATTTTCAGAATTGGTAGAAAAAAGATTGATTTATAATCTCAAAAAAAGTTAGAGATTTTTTGTATTTCTGCATGATTTCTTGTATGATTTGGCTTGTTGATTTTTGCTTTCTTGTATGATTTGGGGGCATACGTCTATGATGAAATTATGTTTAAATTTCAGATCTAGATTCAGCATATCAAAATTACTAACGTTCCTAAAATTTACGTTTTGAAGCTCAACCGGTTAGAAATAATTTGCAAAAAACCCTACTACTGGGCCTCTCTTCAAGAAGGCGTAGCTCCGTTAGAGAGCATTTTTCCATACATGTTCATTTGAAAAATTAATATTGTTTTTGAGAGCAGATTTAACTGTTTCAGTTTGGCCACCTAATTCCGGGACACCCTATATATGCAGATAAGCAAAAGCTAAGTTTTTTGAAAACCCATTAAATATGCATAAACAATGGCAAACCATGACCCGGCTTGAATCTGGATCTACCATTTGAGTCCACTTTATTCAACATGACAAGCTTAGCAAGTTAAAATTTTCAGGATAGTCGTGCAAAACGCCAATAGAAAAAATAAAATCAATCTTAGCAAAATTATGTTACGTATTTAGAAGCGCTCAATGCTGCGAGCGAAGAATCATTGGTTAATTATGCTCTTACACAAAATATTAAGCTCAAAGGCTACAAAATTCATGCAAATTCGTTAAAGTCGGAAACCGTCGAATGCACTGAATTGTTTTGTTTCCGGCAATCATCCAAACGAGTTTGAAGCAAAACCCCGTGTGAACCTGGCACTGCGTACAAAATCTTTAGCAATGCGAAAACTAAAATCTAACTGACATTTCGAGCAATGAGTCATCCAAGGGGCGTTCAGGCAAACAGTGAGTTTTTTTTAGAAAAGGTGCGTAAATATGCAGTTTATTGGAGACACTGGACAAAATATGTCGGCAAGCGCGGTCCTATGTGTCGGGTGAATCACGTTCTTTGGGGGAAAATATAGAATAATCGAGGCCCCTAGAGTAAACTGTATGATTAATCCGGAATGCACTTGCATTGTCTAATCAAGTGAGGAGGTGACAAGCATAACCCTACAAGTCCGTCAAATACAGATTTTCACAAATGCCAAAAAATAATTTTCACATTCTCCTTGTTTTTTATTTAGTTATTTATACGTCGACTGAAATACAAATCTGGCGGAATTTATTGACATCGTATAGTTATGGCATTAATATAAATCGCATTAAAAGTTTGGATATGTGGGGTTTTGGTTAGACAAGTAACTATGTGAAATTTAATAATCAAGTTCAGTTCTGTTTAATAATGTTTGGTTTATTTATATTTCCCATAGTAAGTACTTAGAACATGCAAAAATGAGAAGTTATGGTTGACAAAAAATAGACAAAATTAGTTCTGTATAAGGGGTGGAAAATGTGTAGAAGATGTCACCATGGTCACCTCCTAAGCAGCAACATTCATCCTTCTCACCCTCTTCTTCTTCCTCTGGAACAATGGGAATATTTTCGCCAATTGCAATTTTTGTCGGCCATAAGAAGCTTTCATTTTCGTTCCAGTTTGAGCCATACCATAATAGTTCATCTACGTATTTTTCCTGAGCAGCACTAATTGGATGAATGAGAGGAATTTCGTCAAGAAGAATCTTAAAATAGTTTTCCCAATTCCAACCTCTCTTGAGCAGGTGATGTTTTGTAAGATTTGGCTTAAAACGAAAAAAATTGGCTGGCTCCACAGAAACGATAGCAGGACCTTTTTTGAGCTGGAAGTAGTGTCAAGCAATGGGTCACGTTACATGCATTTTAAACCCTATTGGGTGCAAAGGACTAGTGAAAGTTTGCGCACATCAGACTATGAATTTGTGTGGCTTTGCTTCGAACACGAATTTTTCTCATGAAATTTTACAGACTTTGTGAAATGTTGATGATGAAAACTTGAAAGCTTTATACAAGGCAAATAATCGATAAGCCTATCAGTCGTTGACTCGTATTTGGAAATTTTGTTTGGCACCGCCTCAAGTGTAGTGCGATCGTTTTGAGGATTAATGAACAGCAAATGGAGGATGGGGCGCCAACATTTCAGAAAGCTGTTAAGGATTTTTTCTAATCTATAAACTAAATTGAACTCTCGTTTCATAAATCAGCTAGAAGTTTTCAATGATAAACGCTTTTCATATCAAAATTTTCAGTCTAAATTTTCTAAAACTACACTTTCGATAATCGTGTAAGGTAGTTTGTTTCAATTATTGCTGTTGGGCTGC